TTGAGGATGACCCGGTAAGTCTGACCAGAACTCCATTCAGCATTTCAATATAGTTTTTGTCTGGATGTGTGTCCATATCAGCTGAAACCCTCCTCGCTGCATTGTTCTCTTCCTTTATGCTGACTCTGTAGTTGCAGAGCGGTGAAAAAGTTCCCTTTTATTGCACATCTTTCCAGTCGGCACCTGTTTATCTCCAGGCATGCACTTACCTCAGCGTGTGTGAGCTTTGACAGTAATGAAAGCTTTTGTGTTTGCTGCGACTTGGAGGTTTTATCGTCGCCGTGAATCCTCCTGCAAGATTTTCTCCTGGCTTTGGCGCGTTCCTGTGCATCCAGCAGATAAAATATCTCGCTCTTGCAACAAGTTCGGTTCTTCCTTTTAATAGAAAACATCCATCCTGGGAAAATAAAAGCTTCAGACTCTTTTAGGGCAATGATGTCTTCCTTCCATGTCTGATTTCAACAGCGTATCTAATGCAGAATAGTCTTGGCTCTGGGTTTTTAATCTCATCTCATGGCTCACCCGGTCTTAACTGGTGGAGAGATTGCTTATTAGCAAAAATGCTGTGGGAAAGCTGTAGGAGGTGTTGCTTTGTTCTGGGAAACCACTAGGTGACTGACAGCAAAAGTCCTCATTATTCGCCTTCAAAAGTAGCGGCAAGCTAGAAAGACTGTTTTAAGCAACATATCTCCTAGTAGATGAAGAAATATGAGACATAATGTACGACCGAGCAAACCGACCAAACAAGCATCGGAGATACCCCTAATCTTACACAAGTGTAGATTTATGCATAAACTTTTTGACATGAATTATTGCGACCACATCGGGATGATAATGTGACGGACCAATACAAAGTCACACTTGTTGGTGAAGTGGAAGTAAAATTATACAATTACACCTTGGGTTTGTCTCTTCCAACTTTGAATTGTTTGTCTGTTACTCTTTGCACAATAGCTCAGTTGAACTGAATTTAAAAAAATAAAATAAAACAAAATAAATCGGTGAACAACAAATTTTAAAGTGTTGATTTTCTCTTGGATTCATGTTCGGCCTTTGACGGGGCCATTTTAACATGTAAATGTGCTTGAATCTAAACCATCCGTGGCTTGTTTGCTGTTTTAACTTCCTGGTTTGATGCAAACCGCAAACAGGGCCTCTTGTGTCTCTTTCAGAAATGACTCTTTCCTAAAGAACAGATTCGTGGAGTGCTGAGAAGCAGTGGTCATCGACAGATTATCCCACTTGAGCCGTGGGTTGCTGCAGCTCCTCCAAATTTTTCCAAGAGCCTCTTGGCTGCTTCTCTGATCAATACGCTACTTTCTCAGCCTGTCAGTTTAGTTGGACAGCCATCTCTTGCTAGGTCTGCAGTTGTGTCTTCCTTTTCCCATTTTTGTATGACCGTTTAGAACCTGACCCTTATTAAGGTCCTCCATGACCTCTAGGAAGGTCACACCTCTGATCTCCGATGTGTTCATGAAGGTATTTCTCCTCTAAATTTCTCTCACAAACCCGTGAGCCCTTTGCAAAAGGACTTTAGATATTTTGAGATTAAATTTTACGCAAGAAGAGTATTTAGTGATACAAATAAAAAATAAAGGAAGCTAAAGGAGTATGACTACTACTTTTGTTTTCCAAATATGTGATTTGGATTGGGGTTTGTGGCCAGCTGATAGAACTCCAGTCGACGAACGTACAAAATAAATCACGAGAATTTCATTTTAAATGCTCAGATCAGAATCTGCTGCACTGAATCATCCTTTTATAGCTGCTTTGTGTCAGGCTTTCACATCGGGGTGGTCGTTAGGAGCAGGTGGCTGCCCCGTCGGGGCGCCTGCCAATACATAATCGACCAAAGGCCTTGTCAGTGGGGCTGCATTGATTTGGCAACAACGAAACGCTGACTGGGTCATCGCAGCTCTAAATGCGCATTTATGTATGTTTTTCAGGAATGCAGAGACATCGGCTGCTTCGCTTGTCTCGATCTTGAGCGCTTTTCACAGCCAGCTGCATGTAGATTACTCTTACAGCAGCAGCGAAATGAGAACCGACCTCAACCCTGTAATCCACTAACGTGCCATTTGACGCAGCCTCTAGCCCTACACGTGTAGAAAGATGGTGACGAAAGTCAGACGCGTGTGGGTCAAATGTTCCTGGCTGCCAAATTGTGGATGAGCCCAGTGTTGGAGGTTCCCTGGTCTTCACCATCCCCCCGTCTGTGTAGGACCCGCCCTGACACCTGCTCCCACTGTGATTATTTTGCTCAAGATTAAGATGTCATGGTACTCACTGTTCTGTCTGCGGCCTGGCTAAAAAATAAAAAATTATAAAACAAAATAAGGAAACCTATTTATAGCTTCGGATAAAATAATGTCCATTAATCTCAGATTATTTCCAACAGTACCATTTGGACTTGGTTGCTAAGCAGATTGCGGCAGATTAACGCTGGACAGAACTCTTTTTGCCGTCATTGGACCATCTGGCCCACGTCAGCCAATGGCAGAGATCATGTCTGTTGATGTGAAACGCATGAAGCGTTTCCTGTCGAGAGCCTTCGACGAAGCACAAACGTAGAGAAAATTGGACAGAACAGCAATTAAGCATAGGAAAAAGGGGGAAAACGCCGAAGTATGCCAGCGGAATCTTAAAATCCAAGTCATACTTTATTCTTTCCGATTTACGTGTTCATTATTCTCTGTATTTCGACTCCATGGCTGGCCCCGGCTTCCAGCCTTGCGTTGCGTCGGGTTGATTGGCTACTCCCACCAGCTGGAAGTAATCTAAATACGCTGAAGAAAAGCTGCCACAGCGTCCTGGAGTGCTCGAGTGTGCCAGGGTTAGCTTGCTCGTTTCCCATAGCTTGAAGTGAGTCCTTTGATGTGATTACTTCTGAGAAACGTCATCATTTATGGATGCCTCCATTAAAGTTGCACAAAGTTTTGTTGGAAAGGAGAAAAGGGGGCACGTGGCTGGGAGAAGTGCGTACGAACGAGTGACACACAACCGGCAAAAAGTTCTCTCCTGCAGTGTTATTAGCTTTTCACTTCTTCTCCTAAAGTTACCTGGTTTCATGTGTCAGGTCTTACAAATAACCGAGGAGGCAGTCGATAGTTGGGAAGAGAATATTCGTACAGACCATCGTCACACTGGTTGTAAGAGAAACTGGTGCATACTGTGCAACTCAAGCCAAGGTCAAGTGGATCGTGGCCGTTGACGTGCCAGAGCATCGCTAAAATGGCAAAGCTTGTAAAAACAATTGCAGTCCAGGAATAGTGAGTGCATTTCTCACCAAAGGCTCTCATTTATCACAGGTGAACACAGCAGAACAACGGGTGTGCGGACATTTTTACTCTAATTTTCGGATGCATGTAAATGTGGGATACACTCAGATCCCGAAGCGGCTATTAAATTGTCTGCAAGTCTATGTTACTGCGGACCTGAGGAGCAAAGAAAATGAAGCTTTGTTGGGTGATTTACAAGTCCATTCTGGTGCTAAATGATGTCTGGCAGCGCAACGTTTCAAGCTAATCTTTTTTCTTGTATTTCTTCTTCTATCGGTTCATCTTGGATATTTTAGAGGCTGATTGCACAAATGTGCCACAAGCTATGCAGAGTTCTCTAGGAGACTTATATGAACTGGCAAAATTGATTCCAATGTTTACAGAAGTTTAACATCTTCTCTCATAGTTCTTGGTATCGAATTTCTTGACTTATTCAACTTTAAAATCATCTGTGCACATGTAAAATTTAAAAAGCTTGCTCGTTCATCTTGCGGCACTGTCTCTTCACATCATCATCATCTTCACAGAGATCACTTCTAGATACACGACTTAAGAAATTTCACTTTGCTCACCTCGTCCGATACTTAGCCTGCTAAATAAAATTATGGGAAATGTAGCTTCTGATTCTCCTTTAGTCGTGCCAACACTAAGGAACAACAACGCTGATTTTTTTTCAGGGTTAAGCCAATGGTCACACTTTGTGTAACTAGCAGTCACTTAGCGCTTACAATAACTCGGCTTGACTGGGACGTATAAGCTGAAAAGTCCAGGAGATTATACTGCAACTTGTCTGACTCCCTTAAATACAGTAAAAAAAGGCTTAGATATTTATATAATAGGATATATTTTCTGAAATAGGGAATATTTTAGCTCTGGATCATTAAAAAGTAATACTAATACCTTGAACAGCATGTTCCATTAGCTAAAGAAATGAAGAATTTAAAAAAAGTGTGACATTTACTTGTCTTGCATATCTCTGCTCGATATTCTGCTGGACAGTAGGGTCTAGTTTGATGCTTTGCAGAGTAATGAACTGATATGAGTTTGAGTCAGACGGACTTTATCTGTGACTTTTCTCTGAGGCAAACTCTTAAAATATCAATTTAACGCGCAAAATTTGCAGAGACTATGTTTGTGTTTCAGATTTTTTAAGGTGTTTTTTTTATTTTATTTTTTTATCAGGAATCTTCTGTTGTGATACGGTCACTTCCTGAAAAGGATTTTAAGTTTAAGTCCTAATTGTTTCCAGCAGTAAACACGGGAGTGTCATGGATCACATGTGGGGCAATCATTTGCTTTCCTATCTAAAAACAACGTGTTGATTAACGAAGTCCAGTGTGCGAACGGAGCCGGGTTGCAGCTCTACAAGATGTTAGAAAAAGATTGGAGAAAGTCTGGTAAACCTGAAGCAACAACTGAATTAAAGCTGCTATTTACTATTATAATTTTTATCTTTCCTAAAAATGTGTTGCTAAGCTATTTGTACGAAAGCCTCATGGGAAGAGCTGTGCTGCTTAGTCTTATCGAAAATAGAGATAGATTCATTCAGCAACTTCCTGATTTACAAAGGTCAACACACACCTGCCTTACTTAGTTGCCATATTTTCTAGTCTTCATCATTTTAAAGAGAAATGAGTCAGTACTCATTAAAGATCAATCTCTCTAAATATGTCTCTTTTTAAATGTTTTTTTTTTTTTTTTATCTTTCTGTTCTCACTCCAGGAACCTCCAGGGAGGTAAAAGCTCCTGCTGCGGTTTCTAAACGGATGGTCCAGAAGCTTAAAGGCAAGAATGAGTTCACTGTGCTGGCGACCCTCAAGCAGGATCATCTCAACTCAGGAGTCGTTCTCTCCATCCATCATTCTGAGCACAGGTAAAAACCAACGAGCTTTTTATCCCTCGCAGTTTGATTTCAATGCAGGAATACATAAGAACTGCTTTGTAAATCTTTTCAGATGTGTGTGAGCGTTAATTAGTTATGTATATGTGGAGCTGTGAAGTAGGGTTTTACCATCCTAGTTGAAAGCAGATATATGCACATACATGTTAAGAAGACATTTGACAGTCACTTATAGCTGTACAGTGACTGATTTCTTTAAATCCTCTACCAGTTCTGCTGACGTTCGCTTCCACGGTCAGGAGCACACAAAACTGAAAATTTGAGGTTTAAATGGTAAAAAAAAAAATGCAGGAATGAACGGTTGCTTTGAGAGGAAGAAGCCATTTCTCCAAAACCAACATTAAAAATCCATCTACAGTTTTTCAAGTAAACTTCAACCTTATTTTTTCATAAAACGCGTCCTGTGGTCAGAATGACCACTGGTCCATGTAGAGGACTGAGAACACACTCCTAACTTGGGTGGCTGTGTGGATCTTGCTTCAGGAGGGACTGGTGCACTTAAGAAAAGACGTATTACATGTGATCAAGAAGAGTTTAGTGAGGTAGATGATTGAACAGTAGCCAAAATGCGACATACTTGTGATAAATTAAAGTAATTGACCTTAATTGCAGTTGCATTCAAAATGTAAAACATCTCATTTAGTCATATCAACAGGCTGAACGTCTGCAATCAGTTAGCATCTACGTGTTTCACACACTAGCTAAACAAACGCAGCAGCTCCATTTAAATGCTGATGTATTCGTCATCGTCCACAGGCGCTGCAAGCACGGAGTTTGTAATCGCGAGCCGCAGACCCCGTCTGCACCTGGTATGCCAATGCTTCTATTAGTTTGTGCTAGCTGAGCCGTTGGACGATCAGAACAGCAATCTGACTTTCACATAATGCACTGATTGAACAGTTTGTACATTAAAGTCAGTCCTGAGCAAAGAGCTCCCAGGGATGTTAATGACTTTCCCCCACTGCTGATTAGCTTTCCCGGCTGCTCAGATTCTACAAAGCAGCGCTGCGTGGTTTCATTTGGAAATGTGACAAGGACTAATTCAGCATCAGAAGTGTAAGCGAGTGCACTTCCAGAGCCAGGATTAATGTGCATGCATGGCTAGGGGAGAGTAAATCTATTAGATGTGGTTTGCAGATAAATCAGTTCTATTGCTACTCTTTCATGAGCATCTTTCTTTCTTTTTTTTTTTTTTTTTACTTTGAATGATGTTTCCAGGAAGCAACTTTTCTTTAACTAAGTCTGCCTTTAAAAGCAGAGGTTATGTGTGCGTGTGTGTGTGTGTGTGTGTGTGTGCTGGCAGCTCTTTTCATTAATGTCTTGTGGTTGGTAAATCTCAGTGCTGGGGAGAAGAGGATTCTCCTTGAATACTAATACTCCAATGTAAACAGCCGAACACGTAGATGCTCTCCATTGTTGGTCGCTGCTGATGTTGCATCTACCAGCCGTATAGCTGCTGGTGGCTTTACATTTAAAATACTATTGCTGATCTGAGGAATTTGAGGACACATTTTCAAACGATCGAGGCGTTTAACTGATAATGGATGGGGATGGATGTTTTTTTTTTTTTTTTTTATCATGATGGGTGACTGGTGCTACTTTAATTTTTTAGGTTTCTGGAGCTGGAGAGCAGTGGCCAGCGCAGCGAGGTGCGTCTTCATTACCGCACCAAAAGCCACCAGGACCACACCGAGGTGTTCCCCTACAGCCTGGCCGACGACCAGTGGCACAAAGTGTCCGTGGCCGTCAGCGCCTCCCACGTCATTTTACACGTCGACTGCAACAGGTAAGAGTTTTGGGATTCGTCGACCGGGTCTTACAGAGACATTCATCCTTGAACTATTTCACCCCTCGTCTTGCTGCAGCCGCAAACTTTTGACGTAAAAGTAAAATGAAACGTCGGAAATTGTGAAATGAACGATACGCGATTTTTTTTTCAACTTTAGCTGTAATTTCTATGCTTGGAATGTTAACACAATGATTCATTGGAGAAACCATTTTGCATAGTAGAAAGTGTAATCCCTCTTGAATGAACGTATGCATTGGAATTAATGCTACAAATATGACAGAGTATTAGGGTAGGAGTAAGAAAATAAAAGCAGATGCAATTACGAGAATAAAGCCATAAAATTACAAGAATAAAGACAAAATATTGCAAGTATAAAGTGATGATATTGCAAACTTGTACGAGAATAAAGTCATAGAAATTTGAGAATGGAGTCGACATGCTACCAGAACAAAGTCGTGGTAATGTGAGAATAAAATCATAATATCACTAGAATAAAGTCGAAATATTATGAAAACTACGACACAAAAAAGTCAGTCTCACAACTGCGGTGAAATGAGGAATGTAGAGACTACAAAGCAAATAAGTAAAAGTAAGTAAGTATTACAAAGTAATACTTTGGTATTGGTTCTACAAATAAGGAAATACTTAATCTGTTGACACATTTGCATCACATTATCATCAGTAGCAGGACACATTGCGTATTATGACTTTATACTTGTATTATTTTGACTTTATTATCATTATGACTTCATTCTTGTAATATTGTGAGCATTCTCATAATCTTATTTAATTTTTTCTCGTAGCCCTAAAACTCCATCATACACAGACATAGAAGCTGAGACGATAAGAAAACCATATATATTTTATCATCACATCAGCTGCCAACAATAAAGCATCCGAGGTTTCGGCTCAGTTTGCGTCTGCAGTGGTTTTTCCCCATTTAAACACAACTTTCGTTACATTTAGGCGAAACGCTTTCGAGGGATTGCAACCTTATCTTTTTATTGCTCGTCCCAAATAACAGAACCTGCTTCGCTGACCCGTCGTAGTGAGTCAAACTAATAAAAACAAACCTCCTCTGATTTCCACAAAAGTGTTTCACGCGAATTGGCAGTTGCCAAGGTTTCAGTTAAGCTGACCTCACTTCCTCCATTTTACGGAGGCCTTGAATTGTCCCGCTTTTTATATTCGCACCTGTTGTATGAATTTTATTGGGGGTGTTGCAGCTTGCGTGTGACGATGCTTACCTTGGCACAGCGAAAGGAAGCAGACGGCGTCGCCATGTGCGCTGCAGAGAGACGGTGACTGTTTGCGCTGTCCTTCGGGGGGAAAAAGTTTACAGGAGGATTTAAAAGAGCAGCTCCGACAACACGGAGAGAAACTGATGCCATGAAAAGAGCAGCTCCGACAACACGGAGAGAAACTGATGCCATGAAAAGAGCAAAGGCCACCAGTTGTGTGTTTAAGAATGTCAACTTTAAGTCTGTTGTGCTTTTGTTTTTTTTTTAGGATCTATGAACGGGTGGTGGAGGCGCCCTTTATGGACATTCCTGAGGATACTTCCTTCTGGCTCGGACAGAGAAACTCTGCTCACGGCTTCTTCAAGGTCAGCACTTCTCCCCCCACCCCAGAATATATTAATGCTGATGCCCGTCTTGATCTGTCATATTAGCTGGCAGCTAATGCTTCGGGCGCTATCTTTCCTCCCCAAACCCAATTTTGGTTCGTCTTCTCATTCTGCATTTGTCTCGTTTGGGGTTATTTATTACGGCTCTGGGATTTAATTGCATGGATTTCTCAAGGCTTGCCATTTTAATTTGAAGGGGTTGTTCGACTCACTCTATTAGAATAGAGATTTTTTTTTATTATTGTTATTTTCATCATTGTTTGTTCTCTTTTCCTTGGTCTGCAGCAAAGCCCAGCACAATTATCTCAGCAACTCCCACAATGCTGATTTGGGAGAGAGATCATTAAATAGCCTGTGGACTGTGCTCATTAAGCCCAGAATCTACGGTTCCGTTTTCCAGTCGGAGACAAACAGTACATCACCACTTACGTACAGCGATGTGCTTCAGAATGTCTCACCTGGGGAGACGCTTCAGTGCAGAAATATCACTCTACCTCCAGGTGTTACTATTAAAGTCAGTCTGCTTCTGACCAGCTCTGTGTGTGGTGATCTTGTGCATATACGTACCTGTCAGTACTTCACCCATTGCTTGTTTTCACCGTGTTAATGGGTTAAGCACAGGTGGTCGGCCACAGATCTCATCCAGCAGCGTCCCTCTTTGATTTTGTGTGTCTTGATTAGTTGCTAGCACGGCATGTGACGTATGGACGGCATGCATGTGATGAGAAAATAACTAATGAGGCACCAAGAATGTGAGTGCTGATGATGAAATTATAAACTTTTTTTTTTATCACTCTTGTGCTGCCAGATTGTGATAACAACATAGATATTAGGTGTAAATGTTGTCAATAAGATTAGATATTTTTGGTATAATATATATATTTTTTTTCAAAATGAAATCAGGTAATTAAAAGGAAACCTTTTTTTCGTGATATGTTGAGATTTGTCTTCTGAAGGAGAGAGCGAGTACAAGACCTTCAGCAAATAACAGGAAGGCTGAACTGAGCACAGCAAAGTTTCTGTTTCATCCCTATAACCTTACATCCTGTTTCTGTCAAGATGCTGGATTTGGAAAGGCTTTCTAAAATCTCAGTCTTAAGGAAGTCATTGACTGAGGAATACATATAACTGCTGCTTTATTGCTAACTGCTAATTTGAGATGCTAAAAACAGCTTAAAAATGTTATCTCCTTAATAATTTTGAATTTGTTTTAAAACAGTATAGCACTCTGTCACTTTAATCAACATTAAGACCCTTTCTCATCGCATAAATAATAACACTTTGTAGGATCTGAATTGACAATATTTAATTTCCCTTTGGTCTCAATAAAGCATTTGTGAATTTGAATATGAAATAATAAGTAATAGAAAGAAGGCAGAATGTTTACAGTGCTTCTTATATTCACCCAGTTGCACTGATGCCCGGATGTGACGTTTGCTCAATTTGAACCCTTCTCTCCAGAGAATTATCACAGATAAGACAAGCTGACTAATATTTAGAATGGAAGGCAAAACTGAATAAGTTTCCAATTTCATTTTCATTTCATTTCAGTTGTGCAGAATCTGTAGAGCATTAAGTGTGAATAAAAGTTTATTTCATGGCATCTGATGCCATGAAATAACCTTTTATTTTTTTATAAAAAAAAAAAAAAGTTTAATCAGGACCATGTGCGCCTTGTGAGAGCCTCTGAGATCAGTTTGTCTCGCTACAGATGGCGTCTTTTTTCACATCAGTTTAGAAAGCGGTTGATTGCTCCTCATTGTCTTAAATGTCCAAGCAGATGAACAGTTACGGAGAATTAAAATTACAGCAATCGTAATACTGAATGGGTCGGGGATTTTCTTCTTAGGTTAATTGTTCTTTTACGTTTTAAATAGCGCTAAAAATGAAAAAATAAATATTTAAAACAGTTAAATATTCCTCTTTTCCTCTCCGTATGCTTAATGCAATTTTTCCATTTACCGTTAGCGCTCGGTAGAATATCCCAGGAGGTTGATTTTTCATACATCAGTTCATTTATTAGACACCTGACGGCTCTTTTCCTTTCTGCTCTCCCAAAATGATCCAATAAAATGTGACAGATTTCATATAAATCCACCCGGTTACTCAACCTCACTCACAAATTTGTCACATTAGTTGGTTAAACGCTTCACTGTGACTCTATTGCATGTTGTCGTTCAAGGCAGAATTCATCACAGCGGCTGGAGGTTATGAAATTTGCACCGTGGCCACAACAAATGTACTTTTTTTTTTTCGTGGTTTCATTACAATTTTGATCCCCTATCTGCTTCCGTTTCTTTTTTTCTTTTTCATTTTTAGCACTCGCTCGTGAAAAATCGGCGCGTCATTTCGGCTGGATTTTAAATTTACGGCCAGCAAATTGAAGTGGCAAGACAATTTAAAAAACAATTTCTCCTAAGTTGTGCTGCTCCACTTTTGTAAGGGTAATAAACGCTCTCGAGGAGTGTACTGGGCCAGGTTGCCATGGCAACTGAGTATCTGTGTTTAGATGTGTACGTTTAAGGGGTGGCTGGGGTGTGGACAGAGAACAAAAGGCTATCAGTTTGGGTCTTATGCATCACGCCGAGTCTCTGAGCCTAAAGTTCATGCATGTGAGAAAACACCATATAAAACTAGCAAGTTCACATACGCACTAATTGTTTTTTTAACCTAACTTCCTCCTGTTCTCCATATATGAGATGATTCAACAGCCAAGGAGATAGGTTACCTCTCGAGTAACGTTCAGACTGATAAATATGTTTTTGCTCGCTCTCAGATTCACTGTCTTTTCCTTTAGCTTGTTTAATTCCAGAGATCCGTTCAGTAAACAGGTTTTTATTGAGTCATGGCTGACTTAATGTTTTTTTTTTTGCACCTTGTTTCTTTAGCTGGAGTTAAGTGATTTTATTTTCATGCACCTATTTAAGATTTCAACAGTTTAGCAATCTTATTTTGCAAGGTTAATGCTTGGATTTTATGTGAAAGTCCTACAAAAGATGCATAAATGTGTGGTGGGTGGGGGCAGGGAGACAAAAAAAAAAATCAGATTTAAGAAAAAAATGAATTCCATCTATGAAATGTATATCTGACATCAGCTCTGCTGCCTCAGTGCTTTGGAGAAGCGTCTCCTGAAGCAATTACATCTGCAAGTCTTTTAGGTTATGCCTCTTTCAGCTTGGCACACTCAGAGTCTGAAGTTTTTGCCCTTTCCTCTTCAAAATAACCCAAGCTTAGTCAGGCTGAATGAATAGTGTCTGGATATTTTCCTTTAAGGCTACAGATCTTCTGTGGCCTCTTAACTTAACAGGCTTTGTTCCAGAATTGCACTGAATGTTAGCTACTCAGCTATGCGCCCTGCTAGCCAGCCTGCAGCTCTTTGTTTTGCTAAAACAGATGGTAACTTTCATATACCTTGTCACAAATACTTGTTTTTAAACAGTGTTACCTTAAAAACTTGTTCCAGAATTGCACTGAATTGTGCACTGAGGCTAGCTACTCAGTTAGTGGTGCTATATGCCCTGCTAGCCAGCCTGCAGTTAGCCGTGTGTTTTACTAAAACAGATGCTAACTTTCATACCTTGTCACAAATACTTGTTTTTAAACAGTGTTACCTTAAAAAGAGTAATAGCTAGCATTTTTTAAAAAAGTTTTAAGGAGCTAAGTCAACCTCATTTCTAATAAATCCAGGGAGTTTACCTTTATGTAGCCATCAAACGCAGCTAGCTAACAGCGCAAAGAAAAAGGGGGATAGTAAGGCTATTCTATGAACTCAGAAAAAGCTCAAAGGGGATTTAAACTGCACGAACAGAAACCTTTTGAAGGTGTTAATATCATGAAACCAGAAACTGGCCCGTGCCTACTTAGAAAGCTTTATCAGGTTCTTAACATTAGCCTCTGTTATCTAATTTTTACAGTCTCTCTGTTCACTGAAAGCTAATGAAAATGCTGCTTATATGTCTGCATGCAGGGAGTGATGCAGGACGTAGAGATCCTGGTGATGCCGCAGGGATACATCTCACAGTGTCCAGATCTGAACAGAAGTAAGTCTTTCTCATCTTGTTATAGAAAATGTATTTTATTAGGATAACAACTCATTTAATTTACACTTAGTGAGACTTGACTGTTGTATTATTTTCTGGTTTAAACCTGGGTACCTGTTGTATAAAACTTTGATAATGTTTTCTTCTTTTTTTTCTTCAATGGTTCCAACTGCTATCAAGAGACAGAGAAACTTGTTGCTTCAGCTGGTTTATGCTCTGTGAAACTGTACAAAATGCACCAGCAGATAATACATTTAGGGTATCCTCATTCTGCACAAATATCCACATATGTATAATTTACATATCACGTTGAAATGGCTTCTCAAGCTGGATCTGTGTTGCTTGTTCTTTTAAATTTGTTTACACAGTTCAGGTGTTTTATTCAAATGATTTTCTTTTCCATATTAAGAAGCTTTCAGACAAAAAACAGAAGAAAGTTCTTTATTCCTGCTTTGTGATTATTTAATTAAAAAAAAAAAAAAAGTACAGTTAATGTATTTGAATATATGGTCTAAAATTGTTCTGTGTCGTATTTTGTGACCCAGCATGTCCAACCTGCAATGACTTCCATGGACTTGTGCAGAAAATCATGGAGCTGCAGGACATCCTGGCGAAAACATCCAGCAAGGTAATGTGACACGTTTCTGTTTGACATTTAATCCTGCTGGAAAAGATGAGCGTATAGTCTTTTAACAAAGCGAGTATAATTATAGGTGTGAATCAAAGTGTTGCAACTGCCAAAAAAAATAAAAAATAAATGAAGCAAAACAGAAAGTATCAACTTGTGAATGTTCTTCTATCAGTGGAAAAGACTGTTAGAGATATAACCCTAAGTTAGAACAGAGCTTCTTATTGAAGTAGCTTGACTTCTGATGCAAATACTGATGAGCAGATTTATGGAGGCAATTGCAGATGCTACTTTTTTAGGCAAACCTGAGCTTTCACATGTTTTTGAAATTCTCAATTTAGTTGCAAAAACATCAGCTCTGTCGCCGACGCCCACATTTAACTGGCCTGCTGACAGTTGCGTATATATCGATATCACAGCCAGAGCTAAAAGCTGTGCATTCTCAAAGACCAGAGCTGTTTGAATCATGCCAAGGGCACAAAAAAATACTATCTGGGAAACAAAAAGGAAAGAAACAAAACAAACCTACCTGATGTTGTTTTGCATTTCCAAAAAATCAAAAACATGGCAGGAAATGTAGAATTCATTTATTTTCTCTTTAAAATTGTGATCGCTTTTTGAAAGAGAGAGAGAGAGAATACAAGTGTTATTATTGTGGAAACACCAGCAGATGCTTCAACAGCAACGGTCGATAAACAGATGTTAAATAAATTAAGGATAGAGACGATCCATCAGACTTACACATCCCTGATAATGAGACAAGGGACTCTGGTGAGAGGGAGGTGAGCAGGCAAACCGCTGCACCCCGCAAAAAAACCAAAGAACCTTCACTTACATGAAATCATCAGAAAATAATTATATACAATTTTTATGGCATTTTTGTGAAGTCTACATCACCAAATGTGTTTATTTCACATTTTTGGCATTTTTTTTTAAAGTTAATTAATTTATTGTTATTTTCAGATGAGTACATCACTGGAATGGCTTTAACAATCTACAGTTTCACTTTCTGATGTAAATATACCATTCTGATGTCTTTAGTCAGATAAATCATTCTAAAGTTCAGAGGAGCTGGATCTCTCTGTTAATCAAAAATGCAAAAAAAAAAGTAAAAAAAAAAATCTCTCAATGATCACGTCACTGCACCTGATGTATTTGTGGCCTTAAGAATTGATATTAAAACAAAAACAAGCAGCAAATTTCTTTCACATAGATATTATTCACACAGTTCAATCTGCTTAGTAAATCCTGGTGAGAAATAAAGTAAATGTCCGGTGCAAAGCTGTTGCCAAAAAAAAAAAAAAATAATAATAACGAGGAGATTGCTTCTTGCCTCCCTCCATTCCACGAAAGGTGTCAGAAGCGCCAGTTTCTGCGTATGGATGTAGAAACAGACAGAATCTGACTGGAATCCTCCGTTCTTGGCTCGTAATGTTTTGTTTCTGCGTGTTTTCCGGGCGGGGCGAGCAGCTGTCCAGGGCCGAGGAGAAGATGAACGGGCTGGACGGCTGCTATTGTGAGAGAACCTGCAGCGTCAAGGGGGTCGTCTACAGGGAGGACGAGGGCTGGACAGATGGCTGCAGGAACTGCACGTGCACGGTGGGACTTCACACTTTGACGTGCGTGCGTGTGTGTGTGTGTGTGAGAGGGAGAGAGAGAAAAACTCAAATTTAATCTCCCTGTGTGTAAAAGAATGAATATAATCAAAAATTATTTGCTTATTACGGCTGGTTCTTATGTTTACGAATGTCTGAGTGAGTAATCAAATAAACACTGTAATTAGGTGCGAGAGCGTGAGGTTTGTGTGCGTGTGGGAACATGCATTTTTAATCATGTCTGTGTTGCTGTTGTCTGAGCACACGGCTCAGTTATCCATATGTGACGCACACATGTTCACTGCTATAAATGTACGACTTAGCTTTTTACGTTTATGTTTGATTGAGTTCGCAAATGTTGAAGCTGGATAGACGATTGGATTGTTGAACTGCTGCAAATTGCTGTCATTTGCTTGTATTGCCATTTTTTATTTATTTATTTTTTTTTTTTTAGTACATTATGAGATTTTCTAACCCCAGAAAAATGAAACTGCTTCCCATGGTGCTCCACGCTGAACACAAACAACTCCGCTTTGGATTATTATACTCCCAGGCATTTACTTTGCCATATAAAAAGTGTAAAGAATTATAAATGACTGGAGATATTGGGCCTGTTCCACATCAGCGAGCAGATTTCACCGTTTGTCAGCGTGCTCCGTTTTGAAACATGGCTCTCACCGAGGAGCTACTGAACTGCTCGATCCAGCCAATCAGATACCTTCACGCACCGCTAACCAACATGCAATGAGAGAGGAAAGAAAAAAAAAACAGAGGAAAGAAATCGCATATCTCTTAATGTGCTGCACCTAATTGCTCCTGACAGATGATAATTACCATCAGGGATTTGTTCAACCCACTCAACCAATGGAATAGCTACATTCGTTATAGGGACGCTGTTTTTGCCGTTACCCGGCTGCAATTAAGGAATTAGATGGGATGCGCTTACCTTATGTGCAGCAATTAGATGTGACCTTTAAAATTCAAAGGTGAGGCATTAAGATGTTATCAATTATGTGGATCAGGTTCGTAGATGTTGCTGTCACAGAGCTCTCAGCCGTGAAAACGATGTTAATTACAGGCATAGCAGCCAGAAAGTAGACGCCACTGGAATGTGTTGCATGCACTGAGAAAATATAGCTTTCACAAACCAGTTATTTATTTACCGTATTTTTTCGGACTATAAGTCGCTACTTTTTTCCCGCTTTGAACCATGCGCTTACAGCCCGGTGCGGCTTTTATTCAACCACCAGGGGGCGCTTTAGCAGGAAGTGAATCATTGGAAGTCAAAATTGGACACCCCCGATTTAGAACAAGCACATGCTAGCAGCAGGTACGACGAAGAAATGTTTTCAAACTCATATGATGCAGCTTTTAAGATGAAGGTTAGCGATCTGGCAGTACAGGAAGGAAATAGAGCCGCTGCACGTAAACTCGGCGTGAACGAACCTATGGTCCGGCTTTGGAGAGAAGGACTGCTCCTTAATAAATCCAGCAGGTTGATTAGGACGCAGCCCTCTGCTGCCCTCTGCTGGGTCCTTATGGAAAACTGAGAGCGGCGGAGATCCCAGCGGCTTATATATGTACATTTCCAGTTTTCTTTCTTTTTTTCTTTTTTAATTTGTAGCTGCGGCTTATGGTATGGTGTGCTCCATAGTCCGGAAAATACAATATTTTTCTTTTAACTAAAGTGTGCTTATTGTGCTGAACTCTGGTGTTCAAAAGAATCAAGGGTTCAGGCTTTGCTGTAGAACTTTAAAATGGTTGTCCAACCTTATTCCATTGCTAAACCAACAATATGGGCCAGTTCTTTACTGGTTCTGTACAATAACTGGTTTGAGAACCAGCTTGGAGACCCACTGAAATTGTCTCATCAGGTAAATGTTTGATCCTCTCCCTGTTGTTTGCTGATCTTTATGTGGAGGACTCTGTCGCAGCAGAACAGTTTAACAACCCAATTCACATTATTTCCGTATTCCTGCTAAGAAATGCTCAAATGCCAATTTATTTAGGTTAGTTAAAACAGCAGGCGGCATTTGTGAACGCCACTGCAGACTTGCTTTAAGGATGTGTGGGTTTCATCAAAGCAACCAGGTTGTTTTGAATTACTCATGCTGTTCTCATGAATGGGTTTGGGAATAGCATTGTGCAGCTGTTTGCAAGGCATTAACCCACATGAATCAAAATAACTCGTGGAAAATAGGAAGCTTAAAGTTGAGCAGTTTTATCTCAAATCTGGTAGATTAAAGTGAGCAAAGTTGTTGCGAGCGCAACAACTTTTTGATTGGCTGAAGCCTCCCCCAGCTCCTTCATACAGTCAGTTCCTTCCTCAGTTCAGAGTTGGTTCTGAGTTTTTATCGGGATCTTATGTGGAAAAGGTCATCACGACATAGTTCGTGAAGTAGGCAAAGCGATTGCTATCTCATTCTAAGAACTTCTCACACACTGCAGAAACATAAAAATCATACTAAATATTTTTGGTCTACTTTCTAGAGTAAGTAGACCAAGTGTACTAAGGAAATACCTTAGTACACTTGAAATAAGATGAAACCAACTTATAAGTAACTTTTCAGCGAAATACGGGAACTTGTTTTAGGTCAATAAATCCTTAATATTGATGAAAAATTACTAGTTATTAGTGAAATAATCTGCCAGTTGAACAAGATCAAGTCCAAGTGGAGTTAAAATGTGTTGTTCAACTGGCACTTATTACTAGTACTTTTTCATTATTATTATTAGCTTGAACCAATCTCCTGTTTGTTGCTGAAAAGTCACTTGTAAAACTAGTTTTGTCTTATTTCAAGTGCACCAAGATACTTTCACTAGAACCAAAAATACTTGGCAAGATTGTATGTTTTTGCAATGTTAAATAAAAACCCTATGCATTTGGTGTAATTTACTCTGATACCCTTAAATGAAATCTGTACCAATTTTTTCCCAGAAGTCAGTCAGTAAATAGAGTTCACCTTTTTGTAATTTAATCTAAAGAAGGCTGCTGTGGTTGGTTTGTAGTATGGAAGACGGTTCTCTCTTCAAGCAAAGTCAAATCAAAAGCCGCATGTTGAATATTTTTGCTCACGTTCAAAAACACTGCTCAGATTCTCGTCACCCTGTAGCAGCCATCCGTACCGTGACATATGGTAGTGGCAGCATCATTCTGTTAGGTTGCTCTTCCACAGCAGGAATAAGGGAAGCTGCTTGGAGGCGATGCAACCAAGCAGTCGACACGGGGAGTTTGATGGGGGCTCTGGTTGTTTGGTCACCGTTCAAACAACGTGATTTTTGTGTCTCCTGCAGAACGGCACGGTACAATGCGAGGCCATCTCCTGCCCTCCCCCTCAGTGCCCGGCAGGCACGACTCCTGTCTACGTGAAGGGAGCCTGCTGCAAGGAGTGCCTGCGTAAGTGGAGTACTCTTAACCTCTGCACCTTCCTACACTTACGAAAGCACGGACGCTACAGCTCGGGCACACACGCACACACACACTCCAGATCAGAGCAGAACAGCCTCCACAAGCAGATCCAGAGAGCAAACACAACGCCTCCACCAGGGCTGCCTGACAATTGACCGGGGCTCCACCGTGTTGCTAAGCTACATCCTAACACGTCCCTCCAGATGAGTCCATCCTTCCGGCATATACGCGGACCAATCAATTATTCACAAGCTGGCTTCAAAACACAGATGGCCAGCAGTCACACAGACGTGAGCCAGTGAATCTGGGATCGCTGCGCGCGATGAAAAGTACTTCCTATTTGTGGTGCGACACGCTGCCGCTCTGAGCAAAGTGAAGAGGAGCGAAGTGTTAAATGTTAAAGGCCCAAAATGAGGCGCATGCTTGGCAGCGTCTCCATAAATGTCCATTTTTTAACTTTTAGCGCTCATGCGTTCTGGCTGTGGGGATAAATAATTCTGTTTCATCACATTGCTACAAAGAGGGTCGGGTTTTTTTTTTTCTTTTCCAAAAGTCTTTGAGCTGAGCAATGAACTCTTATTAGCCTCTTCACAGCAGCAGTCTGCATCTCATATTCTCTCAATTCCACTCTCATTACAAATGGATTTCAGTGGATATTATCCTTTTACACCATGGAATAGTTTTTCTAAAAAAAAAAAAAAAAATGTTTTTGTAAAATGTTAGAAAAAAACTGCCAGTGTCTGGATCAATGTCCAGCTTACATGTTGTTTATACAGTCTAATTGCCTTACTCTGAAGTTTATAATTGCTTATATTCTTATTCTTAGCCTTATATATATATATATATATATATATATATATATATATATATATATATATATATATATATATATATATAGGTTGCATAGTATTTCTTTGCAGATTTGACTTCACACGTAGTGCCAGCCGACTTCTTTTCAGAGCTCGCTCCTCACCAACTCCCACGTTCTTCTTCTGTTGCTCTCCGGCTTCGTTTGCATGCGTGACATAAGACGAGGTTCGGCTCTGTCAGGAAAAGAAACCGTTAGTCTCAGGGTAGAATAGGCAATACTACCTTAACATTTTTATCTCATTGAGCGACATTTCACAACAGTTGCAACCCGTCACATTTTAAAGTGTTCAAACAGCAAAAATAATATTTTTTGTTAAACTATTTAAAGTCTATCATTAATTTTGCTAGATGCGTAATTCTTATCACAAGGTGTCCACGTGTCTTTAAAGTCTTAAATTTGTGAGTCACAAATGAAGGCCTTAAGATGTCTTAAATTCCTAAATGAACATGTAAGCTGGCCTTAAATGTGCTAATAGTAGGTCTTAAATTCTGTTATGGTGGGAATATTTAATGTAGTCTTTTTTTTTCACGCGGGACTTTTCTGTCAGGCAAAAGTTTGAGTCGCACGCTGATGTCTTAATTGCATTCTGTGCATTTTGTGGTTGAGGAAGCTCTTACTAGTGTGGAGAATTATCTGTTCTCCATGCTGACGTCTTTATGTATGAGGTTACAGAAAAGAGATAGAAGGAAAACACAAAATTATTTATTCTCAACACTAATATACACTTGCTATAGCTAGCTAGCTTTGTGCCTGTGTCGTGTAAATTTATCTGCAGTTGGCTGGACGACATTCATATTTGCCACTGGCTGACTGATGCTGCCTACCCATCCAAGACTAGATGCAAAATAACCCCAAAACAAAACAAAAAAACTTTTAGCCTGATCACTATGGGGCCTTAAGGCTGTAGAGAGTGACATGCAGTGTGAGAAGCATGAAGCTGAATTCACAGTTATTGGTATGCCTGATTGTAATTCAGGAAGTTTCCTCAGCCATAACCTATATTTACACTTTTTTGGTCTTAAATTTGATTCATGTTGGCATTAAACATGTCTTTTCTTTATTTGACTTGCTGAAACCTTTAGATACTCTGTATGCCAGTGGCAAGTTTAACTCTGTCTGATCCAGGGTTTGTTAAATTAAAGCCCTTGTAGTGCTGTGAAGAACTATTTGCTCCCTGTCAGATTTGTTCTGTTTGCTTTTTATATCCAACCTAAACATTTAAAATCACCTTACAAATTTTAATACCTAACAAAGTCAAACCTGAGACTTTTTCAGATGATGAGCTCATTTACTATGGTGGAAAAGCAACTTGAAACTACATGGCTGTCTGAAAAAGTAATTCCCCCCCCCCATTGTCTCGGAAAGCTGAGTTCAATCCTTGACTGATGCTGGAAACAAGATATGGCTTAAACAGAACCTGTCTGATGACACAGATTGGGCTGAAAGCAACAAATGTCCTGATGTAAAGAAATCCGTGAACAGATGAGAAACAAAGTCATTGACATCAGTCAGTGGGGAAAGGATTACAAAGCCATTTCTAAGTGATTGGAACAAAGTAAACCACTTTGGCAGCCGTTACTCATTGCCAGTATTAGTCCAAGAACACACAGAGGTCACAAACGAAAATCACTATGAAACACCAGAGAACATTATCAGTATCACTGTTTGAAAAAAACAACACAAAATACAAAACGTTTAGTTGATCAAGATTTAATGTAAATGTCGTGTGATAAGGATTTCCAGGTTCTGCACTCAGAAATATTCCTTCACACACCAATTAAAGAAGAAAATACCGCTGCAGAATGTGTCTACTCCTTTGTGGATTTGACTTCTCTCGTTGTGCAAGTGGACTTCATTTGAGAACTCGCTTGTCACAAACTCCCACACACTTGCTCTGCCGCTCTTCAGCTGCCTTTGCGAGAGGCGCTATAAGATCAGATTCAGGTCAGAAAAGAAGCCATTAGTCCCGTCCTCTAAGCATCTTGCCTCAGCATCATTTCAGGGGGTTGCAGCACGGTTAGACTTTAACCCTAAATCTGTCTGCAGCAAGGTTTCTCTTAACATAAACACATCGCTCTTAAAACCCAACACTCCTGAGCTCACTCATCTCAACGAGGTGCACGCAGCTAATGAGGCTTGCTGTGTCTCCTCAATAAAGACACGATTCGTCCTCCAAATTAAAGCCGTATCTCATTTTACTCGGCCTGGCAAGGGAGAGGGTTGCACTTTGTTTGTCTTTTTCCTTTTCGATTGTCTGCCAAGCACGGCGCTTTCATCGTCCACCGCTCCGTGATGGTACCCAACCGGTGGTGTCAATCATCCCTGCCCCTCGCATCAGCCTGAACCCGTCTGACCCCCACCGGCGCGTCATCAAGCCGTGGCTCTTTCTACCCACGTCGTTGTTGCGCAGCGCCCCCTCCGCCCTCTCTCCGGCCTCTTTCATTATTTAAAACAGATTCTCGTTAAGGCGACGCCGGGAAGTGCTTTTCTCTCTCAACACATTAACTATGTCATCACTTCTTCTGTCGCACTTCTTAATTGGGTTTAACATGCTTGATTTGGTCTGACTCTCATTTACCTGAGGCTTTAAAAAGCTTAAAGGAGCTTCTGATGATAAGAACGGAATATGTCAGGCATGTTAAGCAGCTCTGGCTTCGGTGTTGGGAAATTTGGGGAGAAACGCAAAACGTAAGAAAAAATAAAGCCTAATTTTTCCCTAGTTGTTGTTTTGTAGTTTAGGTCACCAAACCGTTACGTTATGACTTTACCAAAAGTCAGATTAGGGATTTATTCACTTTAATCCCCAGGAACAAACATGATACTTTCTATCAATTAAAATGTTATACAACCTCAGGCCTCAGTTTTAAATCCGGGAACTTTGTCCCATCTCAGCTAATTTACCACAAAACAAAACAAATTCAGACATTTCAGTCTTTTGGTGCATGGACTGTATTAGTTCCAGTGGATGCGTTGGAGCATTACCTTAAGCTATTTACAGACAAGGCACATATCTTATTCTTTAAACTGTTTATTTATCCATTTTGACTGTTCCTGTCCAGTCGTGGGGTTAGTGGGAAACTAGCTTTGCTGTTCCTGTTGAGCTCAGACTATTTTAAAGTTTTGTTTTTTCCATTTGTTTGCTCTGGTCTATGAAGCAGTGAAAACATGTTTGCACAGAATAATTCAAGCTGTTCTTTACCTAAAAGAAAGAGAAAATAATAATAATAATTAGGTAATGTAACAAAATATTTTTTGCTAGCTCACATCTTCTTGTTGACATGCCGTACGTAGGGAAAAAAAAGGCAGATCCTTATCTTAAGTATAACATCAAAAAATGTGAAGTTGGGCTCTTAAGTCTTTGTTTACTTGTATAGTGCGCCTTCTTCAGTTCATTTATGTGTGTGTGTGTGTGTGTGTTTCTCCCACCAGCTGTCTGCCTGTTCGGTGGAAGAGAGTTGGTGGAGGGAGATCAGAAGGCTGTGCGCGACTCTTCTGGCAGGTGCCTGCTGTTTGAATGCCGGGTAAGTCAAGTCAGCACATATACTCAGAAACACGCACTGCACCCTGTTTAGTGAAAAGAATTGAATCAAAATCCTCCCCTGAAAGAAAATTGGGCCGTAACTCAGGTCGTAGCTATTACACCATCGATGTCTGTGTCACAGTGTGCAGTATGCTGTCTGACTAAATGCTTATTGCATATCCAAAGTGGTCTAGCTTTACGAGCTGCTTTTTCTGCTTGAGCTAATTTTGCTGGCCTTCTTTGTCCCAAACAACTTTTTCTAAGCTCTGCAATGTGCTGCTTCACTTAACCGTGATCTTCTTTCTTTAGCTACAGACATCACATCAGCATTCACTCTAAGGTGAAGTGGAGTCACTCTAAACCCCCTCACTGCTCTGAATCTTCACATTTGAACACACCAGAAACATTTACTCGGCCGCATTTAACTCCTAGAGACACAAAACAAAGAAAGAAGTCAGAACACAAGGTCACAACAAAACAAAAAAGCAGAGTGCAAATCTGAGATCACTGGTTTGGTTTTTATGTAGAACACATTTACACAAACCTCTGTTGCTATTATTATATCCTTCATTAATCCAGATAAAAGTCTTAATACTAAAATATCGATTTCAAGGGAGAACTGGTCACAAAGGCGCCAAAATATGCTAAAAATCAAACAGAATATTGACAATAGTTCCCACGTTCTTATAAGATTTTGCCACCTTAATTTTGGCCATTTGATTAATTTTAATTTCAGTAACTTTTACCCCTTGGAAATATCTTTTCTTTCCTGTGTATTTAGCAAAACGTTAAGTTGGGCTAATCTGAAGCGAACATCCAAAGTCAACTGGAAAAAATCCAGTGAACTATTGATGTAAGCCAACATCATTGTTTCATTTGGATAAAATGTAAATTTGAAGTTTGATAACTTATCACAAAGGTTATTTGTGTCGAAAATGAAGAATGATTTTAGTTCTCCACACTAGGAGCCCCAAGGATCTCCTTGGATACTGGCAGAAAAGGAGGAAAGGAACCCGACATGATTGGTCCACTTTATTCAGACCGATAAGTAATGTGAAACCAACATGCAGCAATTGCAGAATTTCATTTAGTCTGTTTGCAAAAATAGTGTCAAATGAATCAAACAGCAACTGAAAATCAAGTGTGTTAGAAAATAATCAGACCAAGGCAATTTAACCCGACTGCACTCATTCCTATTGTGTTTTCATATATGTGTTAGAAGCTCCCCTACCTTTACCGTCATGAAAAATTGCTCCAAATTCACATATCTACTTCGGCTGAGTTGTGCCTTGCAGTAGACAAGAGGCTCAGCTGAGCTCAGCTGAGCTCAGCTCCTCAGCGGTGCGTCTGTCATCGACTGCAGCCGTTTTTCAAAGCCAGTCATCAGACACGATGTTGACTCAAATTAGTTCTATTAAGTAATTATTCAAAAATGTTTAACTTTTGTCCGCCTGCCGCACCAGATGGGTGCGTTGCTCACTTTTGGGAGTACTTCACTTGATGGCATTGCACCAGACAGGCTCAATCAATCACAGAAAAGCGATCTGAAGTTTTAATCACCCGTCTGCGCCGTAACAAACCAACCGATTCCTGGGTTCCAGTGAACCGCTGGAATGAGCTGCTCCAGACAGCTGTCTGGCTCGCTCGCTCGCACCACACCTGGCCCATCTGTAGTCCCCGCAAAAATGACTGGCAGCCCCCCGGCAGATCAAAGAAATGGGGAAGGGGAGGGCTGTCAGTCAGCCCACCGCGGCAAACTTCTCCGGGCTCCCCCTGACAGCTGCTTGTCATGCCTCTGATCTTCTGTCTGCCTGCTGGCTGAGAAAGATGGCGGAGGTGTTTAGGGTGGCTGGCGAGAAGTACTGCTAGCAGGGAAACTTTTTTTTTTTTTGTTTAGATGTTTTGGAGAAAAGTTTAGCAGGATTTCACACAGGACTACGATGAACTGAAACATCACAGACAGCTTTTACCAGGAGACCATCTGAAGATGAAGTAAAACGTTTGTTTGATTGAGATGTTTGATTGTTGTCATCCTCGCTATCTCAGAATTTTAATGAGTCCAAATTAGCATCAGTGGGACGCGCACAGATTAGATCATTAGGGAAGCTGGCTACAGGCATGTGGGGGAAAGATAACCTCTAATCAGTTTCACACACTGACTAAATGCAGACTTAATCCAAATGTTTGATTCACCATTTGTCTCCTTTAATAAAGACACACTATTTCTTTTTCTCACCTCCAAACATAGATTCGGGGGTAAAAAAAAAAAAAAAAAAAGAAAAATCTCTGAGTGGCCCAATCCGTAATTGGACTGTAATGAGCATAGGAGGAAGAGGGAGAGCGGAACATTGGAAAAGGAAACACAATAGATGAATAATTACCTACATAATTATCCTCAGGACCCGAGAAAATGAAGGAGGATAGCAGAGTTCACCTGAGAAGTAGCTCATGGGGATTTTGATGTGCCCTTCACAGGAGCGAAGCATGCATCGGGTCGTCCCCACCGATCCCTGTCCTGAACTCAGCTGCCCGGAGTCGGAGCAAATCACGTTGAGCAGCAGATGCTGTAAAGTCTGCAGAGGTACGGGAGATTGTTCTTGCTGTAAATTCTTTAGCCAGCCCGTTATTCTGCAGTAATGATAACCAGATAGACCAGGAGTTTTATTGTTGAGTGTCGTCTACATTTGGGAAAGATGTTTAAAACACCCATAAAAAAATCATACATAAAAAAAACAAAAAAACAATTTGGGAACATTTATTTATTAAGAAAAGACTCCCATATACTGATTACTTTTTCTGGTGAAAACCGACATGTAGAAAATACACATTTTTAACATTTTCTTTAGTTTCTAGAGCAACTACTAGTATTTTTGCCTAAGTATGCCAGTAAGAGACTCGACAGTTAAAACACCACGAAGCAAAATACATGATCCTGAAGCACAACCTTTCCTCCCGTCTCCTCTGTGTGTTTCGACCTTTGCGGATGCGCGCCTGCTGCAGGTCATGACTTCTGCTCAGAGGGCCACGGCTGCACGGAGCACTCCGACTGCGTGAACCTGGAGGCAGGAGACTGCTGCGTCTGTAAGGACGGCTTCCGCCCACTGCGCGATGATAACGCCTACTGCGAAGGTACGACGGGGCTCTGAATAACAACACCCCGGCTTTATGCCGAAGTTAGTTTGCCCTACACGAGAGGGCATTCAAGGCTTTCTTTCTTCTTGTTTGTGTTAATGTGCGTGAGTCGCATTTGAAAAGGTCGTATGGATAAAAAAAAAAAAAGAAAAGAAAAGAGTGCCCTCTGGGAAGAAGGTGGCATTGTGAAACTAATGTTATTTTTACACCCAAAGATTTACAGGGCAGTTCTGGCTCAGGATAACCCTGTGCATCATCCATGACAGCAGACAAATATAACAGCATGGGTGACATTGAAATAAGAAGGTGGAAAATCGAAGCGAGTTAGTGAGGAGGACGTGTGTATTGTGGCTTACAAAGTGTTCAAGACACTTCAACTTTTCTGCAATTCCTGATATTAAAGCCAAACACTTAGCTGCGTTTTATTTGGAAGTAGTGTACAGTAGTGCAAGGTGGAAGAAAAATGATTCAAGCGGTTGGACTGTAATAGGTTTGGTGTCTTTACCCACATTCCAGGTAACACATTGTTGCCTGTGCCTTAAAATTTATGACACTTACTCTTCAAATTGCAGAGATCATTGCAGAGATATGCGTCATTGACAGCACAAGCAGTAGTGCGTGTTTACTGCATTTGTTTGCTGGTTCTATAAAAAAGCAGTTTTGAAGGTGAAGTACTTGAAGAATGCAGAAGACTTTAAGTACTTCAATGGCCAACGATACAGAGCGATGGAGAGAGTGGAAAAGAGGCGAAGAAGCATGTGGAGGCAGGTTAGGATGGGTGGAGAGATGTGTCAAGTGTGATAAAAGGGCATCAGCGAGAATGAAAGGAAAGGTGTATGAAACAGTAGTGAGACCATGACGTTGTACAGTTCAGAGACAGAACCAAGGAGGAGGCAGAGCTGAAGGTCACA